CAACCTTCCTTCCGAGGAGTGGCTGGTGGGTTTGAACCGCCAGCCGTCTGGTTAGCAGGCAAGTGTCTTAGCCACTATGCTACCAGTGATCCTCCTAGTATTTTAAAAACTGATGGCCTAGCTTCCAGCATCATAGCAACACACAAGCCACCACAGTACAACAAATTGACAAATGAGTGGTGACCACAGCACTTACCACCTGGCTTATTTGCTTTGTCTCCCAGAGACTGGGTTACCTTTGAAGGTAGTGCCAGATCTTTCATCTCCGTATCTCTAGCCCCTAGCCCAGGAACTGACGCTCAGTAATTGCTCCAAACTGTTGAGGAAATGAGCCAAGAGAGGGTCTCCAGTCTCTCTCTCTCTCTCATGTTATAGATAAGGCAACTGAGGTCCATAGAGCAGAAGTGACTTGGTCTAAGTCAGTTGGTGGCTTGCCTCCAGCAGGTCAAGGTGTATGGCCATTTCCCTCTATATCCTGATTTACAACTTAGATTATTTTCTAGTAATAGTAAGAATTAGCACTGGAGATAATTAACCATTACATGTCAGTTACAATGCAAAAAACCTAATCCACTGCCATCAAGTCGATTCCAACTCACAGCGACCCCCATTGGGTTTCCAAGCCTGTAAATCTTATGGAAGCAGATTATCTCATCTTTATTCTGCAGAGCAGCTGGTGGCCTCAAACCACCAACCATATGGTTAGCAGCCAAATGTGTTAACCACTATACCACCAGAGCTCTTTAAGGCTCTTTACAAATGGTTAATCTTCATTATGAACAATAGATATATTATCCCTACTTTAAACATGAAGGAGCCTTGTGGCTTAGTGGTTCAAAGGATTGGGCTGCTAACCAAAAGGTGGCCGATTCAAACCCACCAGCCATCCCACGTGAAAAAGAGAAGGCAGTCTGCTTCTGTAAAGACTTACAGCCTTGGAAACCCTGTGGGGCAATTCTACTCTGTCCTAAAAGGTCACTATGAGTCAGAATCCACTCAGTGGCCATGGTTTTTTTTTTTTTTCTTTTTCTTTTCTTTTACAGATGAGGAAACTGGACAGCAGGGTGGAAGAACTCCCCCAGAGTTACACAATTAGAAAGTGCCAGAATCCAGCCTGCATGTAGTTCCAAAGCTCATACTCTTAAGCTCTAGGCTGGATGACTCATTTTTTTAAAAAAAGGCAAAACACATTTCATTAATTAATATTTTTCAGAATGCAAACGCACTAGATTTTATAACTAGTGACAGAGCAGCATACAAAGAAGTATAAAAGCAAAGTTAATCATCTCCCACGGGGGTGTTATTGGTGGTTCAGCAGAATTCTTTTGATTTCCCTGTGGAAGCCTCGGGTTTGATCCCGGCCAATCTCCCTCAAGCGCAGCTTGTGAGTTGCTACTGCGCTGGACAGATTGCATCAGAGCTTTCAGACTAAGACAGACTAGGAAAGAAAAACCTGGCAACCTGCTTCTGACAACCTGCCAGTGAACACCCTGTGGGTCCCACCATCTGATTCTCTTGTGTGTAGGGTCCTCCCGCCTTGAGTGCAGCTAACGATAGTGACAACAATTATCACCCACCCCATCTCCCCAACCCTGCGCCCTGAGATACCAATTTCAACAGCCTGGGGAGTGTCCTTACACAAACCTAAAAATACATATATGGGAACATGAACTTTTTTTCCCAAATACTATCTTACTATCCTCGTTACTCTGCCATTTGCCTTTTTCACTTCATATACAAATACACTCCTTGAAAAAGGTAGATCTAAATCTTTCTTTCTAACTTCTTGCTGCATCTATATATGCACATATGCCTATAATTTTACCCAAAAAATGGGCTAATTTTATTACTGGGGAAGTTATTAATGCCACTTTGCCTTTGCCGCCCACGATTTAATGTGTTTTCTTCCATACTTTTCTCCATCTTTATACCATAGGCTTGCCAAATTAGCAACCCAGTTAAAATTTTAATTTCAGATAAACAAAGAATATTTTTTTCAATATAACTATGCCCCATGTAATTATTCCTTGTTTATCTGAAATTCAAATTTAACTGGGTATCCTGTATTTTATCTGGCAACCCTACTTCTAACCATCAACAAACACACACATTTAAAGTCCTATTATACACACTTCTTTGATCTTAATGTTATAATTCAGCAATACCCAAAAAAATCCCTGCAAGTCAAATAGTTAGCTTAAATTCTTATTTTCCTAACGGCTGCATAAAAATCCATGGGGTGGGTGCTAACCCACCCTCTGCTGATGACAGGCCTCTAGTAAATGTCCCAAGCATCATGTAGACCCCTCCAGGCTTGGTGAGCTCTATACCTTTTCTAAACCCTCACACCCAGTCTCCAGGCATCAGTAGCTCGGGGCTGGTGATCAGGGATGGAATGGCAGAGATAACCCAGGAACAAGTGGTGCAAAAGGAGCTCTGGTAGCATAGTGCCTAAGGCACTTGACTGCTAACCAGAAGGCCGGTGGTTCAAACCCACCAGCCACTCCTCGGAAGGAAGATGGGCCATCTACTTCTGCAGTGAAACTGCCTCGGAAACCCAAGGAGGGGTTTGGTTTAGTGGCGCAAACGGTTGATGTGCTTGGCTGCTAAGGAAAGGTTGGAGGTTCAAGTCTACCCAGAGACACCTTGGAAGAAAGGCCTGGTGTTCTACTTGCAAAAAAATCAGCTATTACAAACTTTATGGAGCTACAAACTTTACGGAGCATAGATCTGCTCTGACACACATGGGGTCCAATCAACTGGAAGACAAGTGGTAACGCTCTCCCCTTTAAACACATCCAATTGTTTTTATATCCATTTCTTTAGGAGAAATGCCGGTGGTTGACATCATCAAAAAGAAAATATGTGAGAAATTCCAGCTAGCTTTGGAAAAAAAAAGGTACTAAGGATTTAGATGGTTTTGTTTTTACACTGGTTTTCTGCTTATTTTCTATGATGGGCTTTATTTGTGAAAACAGATGAGCTATGGTGGTTGACGTTTTTTTCTTTTAAAAGAAAAGTTTGGATTTTAACGATTTTCCTTCTTTTGAGCAGATACTCATTTGACCAAGGTCTACAGCTAAACCAGAAGAAAAAAAATGTCTCCAGTTCTTTGCCTGAGAATTCTGATTAAGCACTAGGCCCTACAGCGGCGACGCTTCAGAGAACCCCGCTTTGCCACAGAAGAATAAAAAGCATTCTTCCTTATGCTTCTTGTTCACCTTTGTGGATTTCTGGGGCAAGGGCTGGCAACAGCCAGGACAGCAGTACTCAGGAACAGGGAGTGGCAGAAAAGAAGAAATGGAAGAAGAGAGAAATGAGTCTGGGCTGCGGGCAAGGCCAGGTGTGGTGCAAAGCAGTGCCCTCGAAGGCTTTTGGCAGTAGTGAGAGCGGCTGACAGAAGCCTGGAGATGCAAGCGGTACCCTGCTCACAACCAGTGTCCCCCTACCTTTCCGCCTGGGCTTAGGGGGAGAGGTGTTAGGCCCCAGCCCCTGCCAGGGGAGAGAAGGGTCAAGGAAGGTGGCTGGGTTAGGTGCGCCCCACCCTCTTAAGACTGGAAAGGCAGGACACTCTCAAGCTTTCCCATGATTGGTTAAGTCAGGCTTGCTTAAGGTTTGCCTTTGGGGGGGCCTGCCTACAGAGAAGGAAATGGAACCCCGGCAAAGCGTGCAGCGGCGCCTTCCATAGGAGAAGCATACAGGCTAGGATCTCCAGGGTGGAGGCTGCCTGGTGGTCTGAGTGGGTCTGAGCCCCAGGTTCAGGGCAGAATCTTTGCACAAACTGGAAAGGGCAAAGGGGCATACCCATCCTCACCTTGAGAGAGGGCCGAGCGCCCTCCTTCCAGCCCCGGGCCCTGTGCCTTTCTGGAGAGGCTGAGCGTGGCCGGTGTTGCCATCCACACACACCATCAGCTAGCGGATCCAGCAACTCCAGATTTGGGACTCTGCGCCCATTAGGAGTGAGCAGAGCCCCGCAGGCGGCGGCGCGTCACAAAGGCGGCCGGGTGCCGGGCATTTAGCCTCCGTGAAGGCAGGGTGCAGACCCCAGGCGCTCGCCGAGTTGGCGTCCGAACAGCAGCGGCGCGGGAGGAGCAGGCAGGCGCTCGCCGTCCCTGCAGCCCAAGCCCGGCGCAGGCCGAGGGGCGCAGACGGAGTGGGGCGTAGAGAGCGGGTAACAGGAGGGCACGGGTATCTGGGGCGCTGGCGCAGGGCGGGCACAGGGCAGGCGCAGGGCAGGGGTGGCCACGGTTCTCCCCGAAGCCCGCGCAGGAAGAGGGCGCTGCCCTGGTCACAGGTCTCCTCTTGGAAGGCCTACCGCTGAGCCAGCTTCCAAACCATCTCCCCTTCCCCTAGTTGATGGGCCGTCCCTAGGTTTCCTTCCCTCGTCGACAGCTGTATGAAATGGTGAACTGAACCTGAGTTAAGGAGTCCTTAATCTCCCTGAATGTGGGTTCGAATCCTGGAATTCCTCCCCACTTTTACTATGAGAGCTCATTGGAAAACTTAACCTTCCATCACCTCTGTTGTCCCATTTGTAAAATGGGTGTATTCATGCCTTCTTTACAGGAGTGTTGTAGAAGTCTCTTGGCAGCAAGCACTTATATAATGTTTACTGTTTCCCAAGCGCTGCTCTCGTGCTTTCCACATACCAGCTCATTTAATCCAACACTAGGGAAAAGGTACTGTTATTACCCCTATTTTACAAAGGAGAAGACTGAGGCACGAAGAAATTAAGTCACACAACTAATAATTGATAGTCCCAGGACTACACATACATAGCCCCTCTACACACCACTTCTCACTAGCAAGGAGGTCTATGGAGACCAAGAATTACATAAGGCTTTAGGGCTACTTGCAACAACTTTCCCAGCCCACCAAAGTTCTTCCAACCCCACTCTATGCCTTGGAGCAATAACTCATCTGACCTGTAACCCTGCTTGGACAAGGGTTAGTTTTAGCTTTTACGGTGATTTACCTTCTCGTGAGCACTTTTTAGGTGCCCTGCTCTGTGCTGAGTGCTGTGTAGGACCATTAGCCTTGGGTAGTTTACATATGATTTAAAGACAACTCTATTTATTCATTTATTAAATGTGGAAGTACCTACTGAAAAGAAGAATGAGCTATCCCTACCCTCAAGGAGTTTGTGGGTCCATGGGGCAGGAAGGCATGGACACAGATCATATGAAGGGGTGGACACTGGCTAGAGGAGAAAGAGAATGGGAAGGCTGAATCTGGAGCCAGGCTGATGGGGAACTCACTGGAGCTCCATGTTCACGGGTAGGGATGGGCTGCTATGAAATTCTACCTAGAAGTCTGGGTCTGGAAATGGAAGGACCAGCAGGACGCAGGGGCTAACTTGTTCAGGGAAGTGATGAATGAGAGTGATGGGGTAATGAGGACAAACACACTGGAGAAGATCCCACAGAAAGTCCCACACAAGAGCACGCCTGAGGCTGCTCATTGTCACCTGGTAGGAGCAGGAGCTGGAGGAGGCCATGTGTCCATCCCAGGGAGGGTGGAGAGGAGAAGGGTGGAGGATACTCACATGGGTACTTTTCAACCCAGAGAAATAATGGGTGACATACACAAAACAATAGGAGTGAATCTTACAAACACATTTGACAAGCACAGACAGACATAAGATGCACATCAAATGCACTGGAATAGTTGCCTATGGTGGAGGGAAAAGGGAATGGGGCATAGGGATAAAAAGGAATAAATGAATAGATAAAACCAGAGAGAGGTTCCTTCTTGAACTGAGAAGTATGATTCAATTGCCCCATGGGCACCTGAAACCCAAAGAGTAGAGGTTGAAAAAAAAAAAGTGCCAGAGAGTCAGAAAGCCCAGGTTCTAGCCTGGGTCCTGTTACGACCTTGCTGTGTCACCACAGGTTAAGTCCTTCTACCTGTCTCGGCTTTAGTTTCCATCTGGAAATAAATGAATTCTCAGGTCTCTTCTAGCCATGAGTTTTTATGAGCCATGATCAATCATTTTGGCCACTTGGTAGAGTAGCCAATAAAAAAGCTTTATGTGATGGTAGGGCTTGAACTTTGAAGAGCAGGACATTTTGGAGAATCAAAGAACAGGAGGGGAGTTTTCAGACAGGGGAAACACTGAAAGCAAAAGATCACGAGAATTTCAGCAGATGCCTGTGAGAAGCTGGACTGATAACTCAGCGTGTCAGGCAGGCCTCAGCCCAGCTCTTCTCTGGGACTTTCTAGCTTGACTGGTGGTATCCCCTGGAGTCCAAGGTTGAGTCATAACCCCTTCAGTCCCTCCCAGTTCCACATCCAGCCAGTTACCAATGTGCCCTGTAAAGAACTCACAAACCCACCCCCTCCTCTCCATTCCTACTGCAATGCCACCCAAGTCCCAGCCCTTAGAACTTGGACTCCGCTCTTGGCCATTCATCCTCCATTCATCAGAATGTCCTCAACACTAACCTCATCACTTCTGGATGTATAATCCTCCAATTTCCCAGGGCTCCCTGTGACCTCAGCTGCATTTCTTCACCCTTGTTTTGCTATGTTAGCTTTTGAATATACACACAACCATCAGCAATGGATTTCAATATATACAGTGATCCTTATCCAGGGAAGGGTGTACGCCTTGTCAAAATTCCAAGTTCTCAGGTGAGGAGACAGTGGGAATTGCTGCCCTCTAGGATATAGTCAAGGAGCTCTGGTAGCATAGTGGACGGCACACAACAACAACAACAACAGGATGTAGTCATGATATGATTCAGGGCCCTCTTCACCAGCACCCACCCACTTCTCCAGCTCCAGACCCACCAAACCCCCTATTTACAAGTTAAGCTCCAGCTGATCAATTTTGAGTTCTCCGAATGTGAACACGTAATTTCACAGTTCTGTGATTTCCTTGGAATGTTCATTCCTCCACCACCACCACCACTAGGCCAAACTGGTCTGCCTTGTAAATCCTACTCACTCATCAAAATCCAGCTCAGACATCACCTCCTCTGGGCATCCCCCTCTACTTCCTCCTTAGATGGATGATAACATAGATAAACACTGACTTGACCCTGATTCAGAGATCTTATGTACAACAGAACAAGACACTGCTCGATTCTGCATCATTCTCACCACAGTGACCAGAGTGTGTGAATCCATCATTATGGCTAATTTGCCAATCCATCTCATCCAGGAACTCCCACACCCTCATTGGCCCTTGACTTCACCAAACATGATGTCCTCCTCTAGCAACTGATCCATCCTGATGATGTGTCCAAAGCATGCAAGTCAGAAAATGTTCTATTGTGATCCCTAGGTTTTCAATGACTAATTTTCAGAAGTAGATCACCAAGCCTTTCTTGGTCTGGAAGGTCCACTGACATCTGTCCTCCATGGACAACCCTGATGGTATTTGAAATACTGGTGGCATAGCTTCCAGCATCACAGCAACACAAAAACCACCACAGAATGGGACACACAAGCAGGTGGTGGGCTTCCTCCCTACCTGGACAGAATTAATTGCCCTCTATTTGTGCTAACCCTGGACCATGAAAATGGCCGCACTTTCTCACTTCTCTCACGATTTTGTAATTGAACGCTGGTCTGTTTCCCCTGATAGACTGTGAAATCCTTCAAGGTGTAGACTGGGTTGTGGATTTGTTATTGAACCAGCACCTGGCACAGTGCCTACTACCCAGAAGACCACCATAAGCATTTATTCAATTGAATTGAATTTCTGTTTGACAGGTAATGGCTATTCCTTTTTACTCTTCACAGAAAACAAGTCACTGCTTTTTTTCCCACATTTTTGGAATCCCTGCCTCCCACACGGCTGTACTGCACATCCAGTTCCTCAATGGATGAAGAAAGTGAACTGATCCAGCCTCAAGACCAGAGCTGCTGGGCCATTCTGCCTGATGTGTGTCTGCGTCGTGTCTTCTGGTGGCTAGGGGACAGGGACCGGTCCAGGGCAGCCCTGGTCTGCAGAAAGTGGAACCAGATGATGTATTCAGCAGACCTCTGGCGATACAGGACCATCACATTCAGTGGGAGACCTTCCAGGATGCATGCATCTGAATTTGAGTCAGCTCTTTGGTATGTTAAGAAATTTGGCCGTTATCTGGAACATCTGGAGATCAAATTTCTAAATCCTTACAATGTTGTTCTGACCAAGAAGTTCCAGGTCACCATGCGAGGGCTTCTTTCATGTCTGGGCAAGAGTAACAATCGCCTGAAATCTCTTTCCATACAGCATCTGGAACTGGACCGCATGGTCTGGAGGAACAGCATCAAGAGCTCATTCATCAAGAGCTTGAGCTTCTTCTTAAAGAAGATGGGCAAACACCTGGATTATCTCAACCTGAAAGGGGCCAGGATGACAGTGGAGCAAGGCTGCCATGTTCTCAACTCCCTGAGCTACTTAAGGAATGAAAATTTGGCTTCAGAGCTCAACATCGAGGACTTCTTCAGTCATCACCTCGCTGTCTACAGTAGCCCCCAGTTTAACAAGACCATGGCCATGTTCCACAACCTGGAGTCCTTGACCCTCAACTACAATTGTATCTCTGATGAGCTACTCGAGAACTTGTGTGAAAACAATGCCAGTACCCTCTGGACCATAAACATCAAATGCCACATTCATGACCCTCATGGGCAGGTCATCTGGGGCATGTCCTGGGCTAAGCTCACTAGGCATGCTACCAATTTGAAGGTAAACTTCTTCTTTGAGCGGGTCATGAAGTACGAGCGCTTGGCCAGGATCCTCTTGCAAGAGATCCCAGTCAGGAGCATCAGTCTGAGAAGCTGTTACTTCAGTGACCCAGACTGGTCCATGAGGCCCACCCTGGTGGATCTCCTGCCTATGTTCCGCCACACTCTGCAGGTAGGTATGAAGTGAGGGGAAGGGAAGTTGCGAGGACGAGTCAGCCACTCAGGTGCCTTGCTTCCCCAGGGAAAAAAAAAACAAAACAGCTCACTGTTGCCTGCTCTTGGCTGGGCTTGTACAGACACGTTTCGTTTTGTGCTCAAATTTAGAACTAGTTGTTATTGAATTAATTCAAACTCATGATGACCCAATGGGTGTCATAATGGAGCTGTGCTCCCTAAGGCTTTCAATGGCTGATTTTTCAGAAGTAGCTCACTAGGCCTGTCTTCCCACGCACCTCTGAGTGGACTTGAACTTCCAATCTTTTGGCTAGCAGCAGAGCGTGATAACCATCTGTACCACCCAAGAACTCCATACTCAAATTTAGGTTCTGGGATATGTAACCAAACTAAACCTCTCTCCACCCTCTAAGACCACCCAAAACCCTAACCCACTGCCATCGAGTTGATTCTGATTCATAGCAACCCCCACGGGGTTTCTAAGGCTGTAAATCTTTATGGAAGTGGATTGTCTCATCTTCCTTCCCGTGAAGCAGGTGATGGGTTTGAACCACTGACCTTCTGGTTAGCAGCCAAATGTCTTACCCACTACACCAACAGACCACAGCAAGACTACAAAATCTGCTCTCATTTCCTACACATAGATCACAAGGAATTTTTTGGTTAGTTGTCAACCAAGAAAGGCCTCATCTCCTTGACTCTGAGCTATGAGGCTTGAGCAAGAAGGTGCCCCCATGGGACGGGTGAGCTATATGTTGGCCGTCTCTCTGCACCTTAATACCAGGTCACAGTAGCAAGCAGGAGACAGCTGGCTCCTGTGGTCAGCTCTAAGCAGGAGGCCTGTGTGGTTACAGCTGTACCCGGTGTCTTAGTTTCCTAGTGCTGCTGCAACACAAATACATGAGTGGGTGGCTTTAATGATCAGAAATCACAGTTCTGGAAGCTAAAAGTCCAAATCAGGGCCTCAGCTGTGTTGATTACTTCCTTGTCAGTACTCCGGGTGATTCTCACATAGCCTGTCTTTGTTTGTGTATGTATGTGTGGATATCTAAGTCTATTCTGCTCTGTTTATAACCTCGAAATGATTAGGTTCAGGATCCAGTGCTGTTGTGGTGTTAGGTGCTGTAGAGTAGGCTCCAAATCATAGCTACCCTGTGTACAACAGAAGGAAATGCCCAGTCGTACATCAGCCTCACAATCCTTGCTATACTTGAGCCCATCATTGCAGCCACTGTGTCAATCCATCTTGTTGAGGGGCCTCCCCTTTTTTGCTGACCCTCCACTTTACCAAGCATGATGTCTAGAATTCACTGACATGACTTAAATGGATTTATTACATTATATATTATTGCATTACGGAAGGTGATTGCATTACATCATACTACATCATGTTGCGTTATGGAAGGTAATCTGCTCTGCTCAAGGCCAAACTGATTAAATCACAGGATTACATAACAGCATATGGCCCGGATTTCAATACACATTTTGGGGGCACACAATAGAATGGGGAGAACCAAACCAAACAAAAAGTCAAATTTGACTTAGTTCACTAAAGAAGTCAGAGGTTCTGGGCTGTCTTCTACTCTGGCAGCTTTCCTACCCGTCAAATCAGGATAATTTTGTACCTTCTCATGATTCTACTTGTCCTGCAAAGGAGATATGGTGGCACAGTGGGTAAAACATTTTGGCTGCGAACCAAAAGGTTAGAGGTTCAAACTCACCAGTCACTCTGCAGTAGACAGATGAGGCAGTCTGCTTCCATAAAGATTTACAGCCTTAGAAACTCTACAGGGGCAGTTCTACTCTGTCCTATAGGGTTGCTGTAAATTGGAATCAACTCAATGGCAGTGAGTTTTTGGTTAAGGACTCCACAAGAGTCCCTATGGCACAAAATAGTTTGTGCTTGCCTCCTAACCAAAAAGTTGGCAGTTTGAACCCACCCAGAGGCACCTGAGAAGGCCTGACAACTTTTTTAAGGACCCCACATAAGGTTGCAACAATTGATACATGTATTTTTAAATTTTTATTGTAATTTGGGTAAAAGTTTACAGAGCAAATTAATTCTCCATGCAGCAGCTTATGCATTTTGTATCATGACATTGACTGCAATTCCCCACAATGTAACAGTTCTCTTCCCACTGCTTCCCCATAGTTACCTCTTCCCTGTGTCCTTCCCTCCCATGCACTCCTGTCCCCCGAGCTATCTCCCTGTGCAAACACTGCCCTTCCATTCTCCCATGATTGATTGCTCCAAGGAGTGTATCTACCTGATGTAAATGCTGAGCCCCTATGCCTGTCTATTATTTGGTTGGAAGTCACAGGAGTGAGTTCAATTCTAGACCCCTATGGCTAGAGGCCATAGTCTCAGGGGTTTCACCAGGCTCTATCAGTTCAGCAAACCTGGTCTTTTTTTTTAAATGATTTTGAGTTTTGTTCCACATTGTTCTCCCACTCTATCCAGGATCTCCTGCACCAATCCCCCTCTGAGTGGTTGACAGTGGTAGCCAGGCAGTATCTAGTTCTTGTGGTCTCATGGTCATACAGGCTGAAGATCACATGGTCTACCAGTCACTGGGACTGTTTTCATGAGTCTCTAGTTTTCTTCATTCTTCTTTGCTCTAGACAAGGAGAGACCGATCGCTGCATCCAGATGGCTGCTTGCAAGACCCTAGTTGCTACTTACCAAAGTAGGATGTAGAAAAAAAAAATTTTATAGTATATTATGCCAATTGAGCTTGATGTCCCCTTGCAATCACGGTCCTGAGCCCACAGGTCCAACCACACTCACTCCCTCTGGGTAGCTGGCTGTGGCCAAGAAGTGTGACAACTGATATTAATAGACATAAACATCACTACTAACAGAGATGGGCTACAACATGTTTAACAGCTCACTGGATAGTCACATAGCCCTGAGGTGCGCAGGACAGATATCATTATTTTCTTTTCATGCAGAGCTGGGTCCAGCACCCTGTTCTCTGGACTTCAAATATACTGTCTCCAAACTCCAAGTTGTGCAAACTTGATGGAGATCACATTCATTCTCAAACATCTGTCTCTGAGAAATGCATGGCCCGCATCCCTTAACCTAAAGCCCCGGATGACCATGGCCATCAGGCCCACAGCCAGGTCATGGGAATGGTATAGGATAACCCAGCCAATCCCAGCATCTTTGTTCACAAACATCTTCCCCTTTGGTTTTTCAGAAATTAACTTTTGAATTCAACAACAACCATGAGTCACTCGACGAGGAGCTGCACTTCCTCATCTTATCCTGCAGGAAGCTGTTCTACTTCAAAATCTGGGCTTTTCTCGATGTTAAGTTTGTGGAGCGGATCCTGAAGAGTCAGGTAGAGGGGCAGTGTGCCCTGCGCACACTCAAGGTAAGACACTCCCAGGGCCGGTTCAATGTGGATAGAGCAAGGGCATCTGAGCCCTGTACCCAGACCCCCCAGGACAGTGGGCATCTAGACGTGTTGCTTCTGTGGTGGGACTCAAGACGGGAAGAAATACCTTAAGGCAGTCATTTCATCTTACTTTGTCCAATGAAAACTAATGATTTCACAGAAGAGAATTCTGAGGACTCTTCTTTACCAGTAGGAGCTCTGGTACCACAGAGGCTAAAGCATTCAACTGCTAACCAAAAGGTTAGAGATTTGAACCTACTAGCCACTCTGTTGGAGAAACATGAGGCAGTCTGCATCTGTAAAGATTTATAGCCTTGGAAACCCTATGGACAGCTCTATTCTGTCCAATAGGGTTGCTATGAGTCACCATCGACATGATGGCAGTGGGTTTGGTTTATTGGGGTCCTTATTAGTTTGTCCAGGCCTTTTCTGATTCTTGTGCTTATAGATCAGTGGGATTGTATTCAATGTCCGAATGATGTAATAACTTTGTGTGTGTGTTTCTCTCTTGGCACAGATAAGAATTTATACTAACAGATATGAGACGAATGAGGAGGACAGGACTCTGCGGGAAATTTACAGGAAGTACCGAAAGATGATTGATTCAGAGCTGAACTATTTTGTCATCGCCTATCCCATGATGTAAGGAGCACTCTACAGAGGAAGAAAGCTATGAGAACTTTGAACTTTAAAATCTTGTTTGACTAGGACTACACTTGGGGCATTTCCACCCTCCTCCAACCCTTTTTCTGCTCTCTCTTTTTTTTGCCAGTTCCACACTAACATGAACAGTCCAGCTATGAGTCGGCATAGGCTGTCCAGCAAAGGCTGGGGTTGTGGGGGCTGCAAAGGCCCTAGGTGGTGTTAAAGGACAGTCTTTACCAACTCTCTGGGGGTGATTTTTCTTTGTCATCGGTTTTGCTTTTTGACACCTTTGCTCAGCCACAGAGCCACTCAGAGCATCTTCTTACTAGGTGACCCTGGCTCCTGTAAATTTGTGTTCCTGAAAAGGTATATATAAATAGCCACTGGGAGCCCCTGGATGGTGCCCAGGGTTAATGTGCTCTGCTGCTAACTGTAAGTTTGAATCCACAGAGGCACCTCAGAGCAAAGGACTGGCAATGTACTTGCAAAAGATCAGCCTTTGAAAACCCCATGAAGCACAGTTCTACTCTGCACACACAGGGTTACCATGAGACAGGGCGGCCTCGACAGCACCTAGACATATTTTGTCTTAGTTCACAGAGGCTGCCCGCCCTAGAAGACTAGAAGCTCCTCCTCAACCCCCTAGCTACCATTTACTGAGCACCTATTGCATCAGGTACTATCCTAGATGCTTTACATACATGGTCTCGCTTTATCTTCCCAGAACCCTGCAAGGTGGATGTTTCTTCACCTGAATACAGGCCAGGAAGAAGATCAGAGAGGTTAAATGTCCAAAGGCACACAGCTACTGAGTGGCAGGGCTGGAATTAGAACCTCATTCCATCCCTTATTTTCCCACATACTGTGCTGTAGCTGAGGTGGCATCTTGGCAAGACTCTGGTCCAGGCTTTTTAGGAATCTGACAATGACCTTCAAAAAATTTAGTCTTACATTATTTGGCAATAACCTCCTGACTTGATATGCAGAGATCTATGCCTTAGAGATATACCCCTGGGATATGTGGACACTTGTCTAGAGAAAGAAATCTACACCAGACAAGGGCAGTGTGGGTCACAAGGGGTGTGGACAACATGACTCTGAGATAAGGGAACAGAAGCACAGAGAGGCTAAGCAATTTGCCCGAGGTCATACGCTAGTAAGTGGCAGAACTAGGATTGGGACCTTGGTCTGTTGACCTCAAGGCCAGCAACTCATCTATAAAACGAAGCTAGGGCTAATACCTCCTCCTCAGGTGTTTTGTGAGGATTTGATGAGAAAATAACATGGAAAATCACTTTGTGAACTGTGAATTGTCACAGGTCATCATTAGTATCCAGCAGTAGATTATCTGGGATGGCCTGAGGCCATGGCATACCTACATAGCCACAGAAGAGCTGCATCGTGAAAGAATCAGAGCTAGACATGAGTGAATGAAAAATGCGTGTAAATGGAGGCTAGTGTGAATTGGCGCCAAAGCTGGGTTCCAATGCATAGGCTGATGACCTGCGGTAGGAATGGCTGAAGTGCACACATAATCAAACATTCTGTATGAAGACCTTTACACAGGTTATCGCATTTCATGCCCCAGTCACCGTATGGGGTAGGTACCAGTGTAGACCTTGAACTAAGGTATGTCAACTCCAGAGCCCATGCTCTTAATCACTAATTTGAATCTGAGGCAGGAATTGGGACTAGTTTTTCTTTACTGTTGCTCGAATTTTGTTTGTTGTTTTGAATACACCCAGTGATCACTGATTGGTCTGGAAACACCAGATTCTAACTCTGAGCCAACTTACATTCAGGAAAGAAAACAAAATCCCAAACTCCTTACCGCATGGTGGCACTAAAGGACGTGCTCTGCTGCTAGCTGGAAAACCCTGTCTCAGGAGCCCAGGCACCTTTGCCTTCCCCTTTCCCAAGCTGGCCAGTCTGAAGCTATAGTTACTGGGATCTGAATAGAGGTGCACATAAGCCACCTCTCCAGCCCGGCCCAGCCATATCAGTATTGACTGTTCTAGCCTTTCTAGAATGTCACTCATAATTCCTTCTGCCAGAGCTACCCACCCCACAGCTGACACTAAAGCCCACTGACTGATGCCCTGCCAAGCCCTCCTCCAAACTGAAAACCAGAGATGTCCCTTCAGCAACCTCACAAGCCCAGACAATAGCCACCTGGCTCACCTTGTCCTTGACCCCTACCACTAGAATGAATGGTTAAGAACTGGACAGCGCCTTGCCTAATCTAGCCTTCTTCATTTCATACAGGAGAAAGTAAGACCACAAAGACGCCTACAGGTGTCTGGGAAGTCTTGAGGGGACTCCTGATCCAGGGCTGCTTGTCTTCTGTGTTTTTATGACTCGAATGCATTGACTTCTAGGGAAAAGGAATTTTGAGAAGCAAGAGGAATGTTTTCATTCCATCTTATGAATGAGGTGGTCGTGATCTGCATAGGGGATCTGCCTAACTACTGAACTGAAACAAATCTCAACTAAAATGTCTCGACCTCCTCCCCCAAAGGCCCACATCCTGTTAAACAACTACCACACCACTAGCAACAGCAGAATAGAACCTTGTGTCCAAATCTTGGCCCCAGAGCAGACTCAGAATCACAGTCCAAGAGTCTGTGGCAGGCTGACTACAGGCTGAAAAGAGAGTCTATGCCACTGTTCAATGATGTGGTTTAATGAGAATGTGAACTCTCCTTACCATCAGCAGACTGCGTCTGGATGGAAGCCCCCAGCCCAGCCCCCCTGATCTTCCCCATCCCTCAGGGGGATGGACCTCCTCATCTGTATGCACAGCACCTCATCGATGTAGATGGTGTTCTCCTTGACCTGGATCTCCTCCTGCAGGGCAAGCTGTCTGCGATTCAGCCCTTTCAGCTCCACCTGAGCTTGGGCTACTGTTTCCTTTAATCTAGGGGAAGGGGAAGAACATTAGGGAACAATTTAGCTCTCTGCTTCTCTTTTTCAGGGGGGAAAAAATATATATATATGTATTCTGTGCAGAACCCAAGTAATATGTCCTGTCCTTCTCTTCTTCTTTACACAGGATTTCATGGCCACAAGCCAGATTCATGAGACAGACAAGCCCCATGAATGGCTAACATTTAAAAACTGCAGGTTTTACCTAAAGATCTGGAGTTTGGGCTTCTTTCGAAAAATTAAAACACTGGGACCAAATTCCTGCATGGGAACAACTGGCTGGAGTTAGTAGAGATAGATAGCCCTTTAGAAAGGACTCAGACACTATATATGCCAAGTGTACTCCCACCCAGCAGGCTTCATTTCACTACTCTCACTGCCTGCCCGTTTACAATCTGCATTTAAATCAAACCCCAGTGACCCTCTGGTGGCTGGCCTACCGTTATGGATTGAATTGTGATTCTAAGAAAGATACATCGAAGTCCTAACCCCTGGTGCCTGTGAACATGGCCTTGTTTGGAAACAGGGTCTTTGCAGATGTTATTAGTTAATATGAAGTCACACTAGAGTAGGATGGGTCCTAAGCCAAGCTGAGTGGTATCCTTATTAAAGAGAAGCAGAGACACAGACAGAGGAAGGTCAGCCCTGTGATGTTTCCAGAAGCTGAGGAATGCCTGGGCTACCAGAAGCTGAGAGAGAGACAAGAAAGGATCTTCCTCCAGAGAATTCAGAGGGAACACGGCCCAACCCACACACTGATCTGGACTCTGAGCCTCCAGAACTGTGAGGCAGTACAGTCCTGCTGTTTTCAGGTACCCACTTGGTGGTACTTCAGTACTGAAGCCCTAGGAGACGAATTTTCAGACATACACTAACGTAGACAGAATACCTTGCAACGTTGCGGCTGATCTCCTCAACCTCCTTGATCAGCCTGTACTGTGCAGTATCTCGACACAGTTCCACATTAGGCCGGTGTGTCCTGGTCTCTAGGCGGGTATGTGCCACCTTGGCAGGCCCTTCCTGATCAAGGATGGCTTTTTCAAGAGCTGTAATGTTTTTCTCCTGGGAAGCCACCTCTTCCATGACCTTATAAAAAGGATTAGAGGCCAGGTTGTGGTCTCAAAGGCATCTCAACAGTCTCAACATCTTCCCCTTCCCCTAGATTAAAGGAAACAATCTTAGGAGGTTGGCATGTCTGTTGTGATCAGGTAGGTTAGGAAGAGGCAACCTCAGATTTCTACCTAAGCAGGACCGCAAAACGAGTCTGGTCTCTTCCCCAAAGCAGTGACTGCTGATGGGCAACCAACCTGAGAACCTCAGAGATATAATGGAGGTGACCCATCATTGTTACCTTATCTCCACACCAAGAGTGTGAATTTCCTCAAGACTACCCTCAGGAGGGAGCCTCACTGCCTGAGAAGGCTGTCGTTTTTCCTTGGTAGAAAATACCTTTGTATCTTGAGCAGAGAGCTGTTTCCTTCCTCATTAACCCTACTCACTAATAGTGGTGCTTGAATCTACCCAGAGGACCCTCAGAAGAAAGGCCCGGTGATCTATGCGATCTATTTCCCAAAATTAGTTATGGAAAACCCTATGGAGAAGGAAACTTTCTTTGTTGGTTACCTGGGATGGGAGGGAAGGGGAGGGAAAATTTCTAAATAGGTTTAAAATAGATATATATATCTCCCAAAGATTATTAGTGGTTACCAGGGCTGGAAGGCAGCGGGAAAGGGGACGCTTTTGTTTCGGGGGCACTGAGTTTAGGCTAATAGGTGGTGTAATATTTTGGAAAAGGATAGCAATAATGGTGGTACAACATGAAGAATGTCATCAATGTCCCTGAGCTGTAAATGTGGAAGTGTTTTGTTGGCGAATGTCTTATTGTGTATGTTTTCACCACAATGAAAATTAAAAAGAAAAAAGAAGAAGAAGAAGAAGAAAGAAAAGCCTACGGAGCACAGCTGGCTCTGACACACGCGTCACCATGAGTTGGAATCAAGGCAGTGGGCCACTGCCCGGCTTGGTTATAGCACAAATTCTGACCGCGACAAGCCTGCAGAAAGAGGCAGTGCAGCTCAGTCTGAGTTTTGTTGGTATTTTTTGAGGGTGGCTTTTGTGCACAAAAAAGATTATTTAGAAGTTACTTTGTTTTTTAGATTGATATTTAACTAGTTCTAAAATTTAGATTTTCCTTCTCCTTTTTTTTTCAACTTTGCATCACAGAAATTTTCAGACATACACTAATGTAGACAGAATAACAAACCTTCCCATACCCATCATCAGTTTAATTTAAGCAATGGTTAATAGATAGCCAATACTGTTACATCTGTACCCCTTCTCCACACTCCTGCCCATCAACTGAGTTGTTCTAAAGCAAATCCCATATATCATATCATTTCAGTCTTAAATATGTAAATAGTATTTCTAAGATATAATGGTTTTCCTTGTTCTTTTAACATAACCACAATACTTTCATCACACCAAAAATAAAAGAATGATTCCTTAATATCATCTAATATCTAGTATTCAAATTTTCCCATCTTTTCAGGCAATTGGTCTGTTCAAATTAGACTTAAACAAGGCCCACACAATGCATTTGGTTTTCTTAAGCTTTTCTTAAATTCAGTTTACAGATACTATTCTGTTTGGTAAGCCCACATAAAACTTAGTTAGAATCCTTAAGGTAACATTCACACATTTTCAACATACAACGTTTCTTTTTTAAGTACTTGAATTGCCTTAACAAAGAAGACAGCCTGGAGTTCTTAAATAGATCTCATCAAAAACGAATCTTAAGTTTTTGTAAATGTTCTAAAACTGTCTTCAAATTTAACAAAATTTCAACTTAAAATCATAAGGCTAAACTAATTATTCAATTACATACTTTAAGCTATACTTAAAAAAATAGGCCCAAATTTCTTACGTTGTAATTAAAATATCCAAAATATCACATAAAAATTATATAAAATTCAAGTCTCAATATCCAAAAGTAAAGTTTTATTGGAACATAGTCATGCTTATTCGTTTACGTAGTATCCACGTCTGCTACAACGGCATAGTGGAGTAATTGCAACAGAGATTGTATGTGACATTCTCATTGCTTCTCATCGCAGCTCAGAGCACTACAAACCTTAGTGACACAGTTATAATTTGACAACTTTTGTGTATGTGTCTCACCATACCCACCAAACCAAAAAAAACAAACTCACTGCTGTCGAGTCGATTTGACCCATAGCGACCTCTTCTTGGGTTTCCGAGGCAGTATCTCTATGGAAGTAGATTGCCCAACCTTCCTTCCAAGGACTGGCTGGTGGTTCAAATCCACCAGCCTTCTGGTTAGCAGTCAAATGCCTTAGGCACTATGCCACCAGAGCTCCCCTTACCATACAGCAACATTTTATTTACTACCATTACATACCCCTCATGTTTAAGCAAGAAAAGTAGTTTGTTACACTTTTCAGGCACAAAAGAGTGTAGATTATATTGTTATTGAATTAGATGGCAAAGCAAAATGTTTATTTATGCAATGACACTAAACCACACCAGACCAAGCTCACTGCCATTGCGTTGATACCAACTCACAGTGACCCCCTTTGGGTTTCTGAAGCAGTAAATCTTTATGGAAGTAGATTGCTCAGTCTTCCTTCCGTGGAATGGCTGGTGAGTTTGAACCACCAACCTTCTGGTTAGCAGTCAAATGCCTTAGGCACTATGCCACCAGAGTTCCTTACAATGACTAGTGAAAAAAAAATAAAAAACCAACCGACTGCCATGACTCACAGTGACACTACAGGACAGAATAGAACTGCCCCAAGGGGTTTTCTTAGGCTGTAATCTTTATGGGAGCAGAGTGCCAGGTCTTTCCTCCTACAGAGCCGCTGGTATGAACTAACCAGGGCTTCTTATACATAAGAATCACCTGGGGCTGTTGTTCAAATGTAGATTATGATTCATATATCTGGGGTAGAAACCAAATTCTCAGCAGGGGGTGGAACAAGAATGAACCAGTTTGAAACCCTGCTCTGTACCACTCACTAACCGTTCTGCTAGCAGTTGAGTGCTTAACGACTGCACCACTAGGGCTCCTTAAGAAATGAACTATCAAGCCCCAAAAAGACACAGAAAAAAACCAACTGCCCTTGAGTCGATTCCAACTCATAGCAACCCTCATTGGATTTCTGAGGTGGTAAATCTTTATGGAAGTAGATTGCCCAGTCTTCCTTCCTGAGAGTGGCTGGTGGCTTTGCACCACCAACCTTCTAGTTAGCAGTCAAAATGCCTGAGGCTCTCTACCACCAGAGTGCCTTAAAAGATACACAGGAATCTTAAATGAACATTGCTAAGTAAAAGAAGCCTGTCGATAAAAACTACATATAGTATGGTTCCAATGATAGGACATTCTGGAAAAGGCAAAACTATAGAGACAGTAGGTGCCAGGGGTTCAGAGAGGAGAGAGGGATGAATAGGTAGAGCACAGGGTAATTTTAGGGCAGTGGAACTATTCTGTATGGTACTATAATGGTGGACACATGACATTATACTGTGTCACACAGAGTGAACTCTAACATAACTATGGATTTTACTTAATAACAGTGTATCAACATTGCTTCATCAATTAACAAATGTGCCACACAAATGCAAGATGTTAACAATAATGGAAAAGGGGAGAGGAAGGGAAACAGAGTATATGAGAACCAGTGTATATGAGAACTCTCTGTACTTTCTGCCCAATTTCTTTGTACATCTAAAACAGCCCTAAAAAAATAAAGTCCATGGGGGTGGGGGGAGGCAAATGATTGTGTGGTATTCCTTGGCTCCTGATGAGTTAACAGTTGTGATACTGCTCAGGTGTAATTTATTGGAGGTATCAGTGCTGAGTTTGAAGAGACTAATAATTAGCCTCTATGAATGGTCCACGTGGGACATTTACAGTGAGAATATTTGCAAAAAGTTGAAGGGAAAAAAAAGCTACAGTAATTCAGTCCTGAATCCCTGAATTGGTATCTGCTGAGAAAATGTCACAGCTGACAGTGGTAACAACATGGATGGAGCAGAAAAAGGCTTGTTGTTGTTATGTACCATCGGGTCGAACTCGACTCATAGCAAGCCCTCCTTGGGTTTCCAAGGCAGTATCACTACGTAAGTAGATTGCCCAACCTTCCTTCCGAGGAGTGGCTGGTGGGTTTGAACTGCCAGCCTTCTGGTTAGCAGTCAAGTGCCTTAGGCACTATGCTACCAGAGCTCCCTAAAAAAAGGCTTAGTTGAACAAATTTATAGTTTGTGAAAATGTAAATAATTTAAAGCCTGTGGTTACACATTGTAGCATTCATCAGCAGATATTGTACAGAATAGATTTGGATCTTTCATATGTTATAGGAACTCTGGTGGCATAGTGGTTAAGGCATTTGGCTGCTAACAAAAGTCAGCAGTTCGAACCTACCAGATGCTCTGTGCGAGAAAGATGAGGCTGCCTGCTTCTGTAAAGATTTACAGCCTAGAAAACCCTACAGGACAATTCTACTATGTCCTAAAGGATCGCTTTGAACCAGAATCGACTGGATGGCAGTGGGTTTGGTTTTGCGTTTCATATGTTACCGAGCCAGTAGAGTAAACCAGAGAGTTAATTTCATTCACTCTCATGGACTTGAATTTTTGTCAGAAATAGAAGCTGAATAGCTGACTTGCCCTATCACACAGCAATTCAATGGCTTAACAGTAGTAAAGTATTCTGATTTTTTTTTTTTTTTTAGGCCAGGGCCAAGGCTGAAAGTTTTCTGAACATGAACTAGTTTCAAACACTGAGTGTTTTTGAGAATTAGTCTTTTCTGTAGTCTTGCTAATGTTTCATAACAAATTCAACCTAAAATTACAAGGGAAAATAGCACTTCTATGCAAATTTACACTGCAGTAAAGTCATTTCAACAACTGTCACTGTTTGAATCACAAGTAACGTCAAACTACTTTGTATACTTCCCATGCTGTCAAAAGTTAAAACAAGAAGCAAGGTTTAAAGATTATTTCAGGCCAACAGCTTCAGGGGTTCATCCAGCCTCCAAAGCTCCAGAAAGTCTGGAGTCTGCGACAATTTAAAAACTTGTTCTGCAATTTTTTCCCCCTTTTGATCAGGATTCTTCTGTAGAATCCTTGGCCAAAATGCACCATAATGGTGGGGGCACCATCCAGTTCTTCTGGACTCGTGGCAAAGGAGGCAGTTGTTCATGAAGGCAACTAGCCATCAATTCCATTTCTTCCTCTTATTCCTAACTCACCTTCCTCTATTGCTCCCAGTGAACAGAGGCCAATTGTACCTTGAATGGTCACTGGCAAGTTTTTAAAACCCCAGGCACTATGCAACAACTAGGAGGTAATCTTTAAACCTTAAACCCAAAAGGCCCTGAAGTCTTCTTAAAACTAGGTAATAGTTTAGCTTAACTAGTAAAGGATGTCTGCCTTGAGCATTGTGCTTTTTTAAGATCTATCTACATGGGATTAAACTGACAAAAGCAACTTGAAAGATTAGATAGGAACCTTAAGCTGTGAGTTTACGTTGATGAGGGAGGAACAGCTCAGAAAAGGAGAGTGAGGATGGCTGCACAACTTGAAGAATGTATCAGTGCCACTAAACAGGGTCACCATGCAGTGGATCGCCTTAAGGGCAAAGGAGTGTTACTGGTTTCTTCTCAGCTTGTTGAGTCTCTTTGGGACCAGTGAGGCTTCTGGGCAGATGATAACCACGTGGACACTTTTTTCATAGTTGTCATGTGTTATGGATTAAATTGTGCCCCCAATAATATATGTTATCAATCTTAACTCCTCTAGGTGTGGTTATAATCCCATTTAGGGATAGGTCTTTTTGTTAACATGAGGCAGTATTATTGTAGGGTTCCTTTTGAGTCAGGCTCCTTTGAGATATAAAAGAGTGAATCAAGCAGAGATGAGGAAAGGTAGATGCCACGCCCCACGAACATCACCATGATGGCCAAGGAATAAAACCTGAAGAGAGACAAGGACCTTTCCCTGGAGCCAGCACCCTGAATGCAGACTTCTAGACTCCTGAATTGTGAGAAAATGAATGTGGTTGCTAACGCCATCCACTTGTGCTATTTCTGTTATAGCAGCACCAAAAAACTAAGACATTAGTGTACTCCAAAGAGAGAGAGAAACTCTCACAATCACTTAAATTACACATTACCTATTTTCTCTATTCACATAGGAATGTCATCCCCATCCAAGTCTGTCTCTTGATTGGACCGTTACATTTTTTTTGGCTCTTAAGAGATGTAAATGACTGCTCTGGTAGATTCAAGGCTTTTGAACTTGATGAAATCTGTATTTTTTTCATATACTTTCTGTCTCCTAGATCACAATCATTTCAGATTAAATTTTGGTTATCTCTCATGGCTCCATCTGACTTGTGGTCATAAGGTAAGAGGAGGGCCAGACCTTCCATGGCCTAGATCCCTCCCCTCTAGTAGTGATGGTTTGTTCTAAATTTTCTTCCCACTAAAATCTTTTTCACACATACTGCTACTACTAAGCTATTGTTTGCTGATACAGTTGATTTTGTGAAGGACTTTACTCATGGAACTTCAGAGTCATAAAGAATGCCTGAGATCATTAGTCCATCCCCATATTTCACATCAGGAGGAACTGAAAGAAGCCCAGGGTGGGGAGAAGGCCTGCCTAAGGTCATACAGCCAGGCATGAAGCGTGGCCAGACCCTGAGCTTGCTGTCTCTTAACTCAGTGCTGTTCTCTGCACCTCTGTTCACAGCAACAATGAGGGACAAAGGGGCAGGGGTCAAGCCTTGGTACAAAAGAGCCTCCTCTCAGGAGGCTGGGGCCCTAGTCCTCAACTTTCCACAAAAGCCCAAAGACTGCTCTTCCTTATTCCCTCCAGGGTGCTCACCTTGGCCAGATGAACAGCCAGCTTGTCCCTGGCATCCTTGGTCTCCTTCAGCCCATTCTTGAATGCCGTGTCCACCACATCACATTGTCTACGCAGGTCATTGGCCGTCTGGGACAGAACTCGGTCCACCAGGGCCTTCAACAAAAGGGAGTTGTTTCGCTGCTTGTCAGCCTTCTCCACGTTGGTGTTGGAGAAGTCCAACCAGTCTTCCAGACTCACAGAGCTGAAACAGAACCCAAGCATCATTCACAGCATGTAGAGGGTGGGAAGGGGACAGTGTGTGTGTGTGTCGGGGAGACAAACTCCTAGAAATCCACTGGAATCTAAGCCAACATGCACTATCAGAAGCACCTAGAACATTCCCATCTCTAGGCAGTGTGAACAGTTGTCCATCAATGGCAACAGCTGTCATTTTTGGAGGCACTTACCAACTCTATACCAGGCACTAGGCTGGCACCTTACAGACATTATCTCATTTAATCCTCACAGTGGCCTAGTGAGCTAACTTTCCTTACCCTCAGTTTTATAGATGAGGCTCAGAAAGGTGAAGTAGCCTGGTCAATACCACACAGCTCAGGACAATATGAGCATCAAAAGAAATAATAATAGTATTTATTATTCAACACCCAGAATAAAATAGGAAACCACAAGTTCATGCTGATATAAATAAACAAATAAATTGCTAGTTTGATGAGGAATGCGATAGTTACATAAAATATTTAATCATTACAAAGGGAGGAAAAACCATTTTACAGTGGAGAAACCTGGCAGACACCACCTTAATCAAGTGATCAAAGTCATGGACCACCTGATCGGATGCAATGAGGAAAACTAAGAATCACTTCCGGAATATTCCTGCCAGAGATGCATAAACCAATTCAACATGACTGTAACACCAAGAGTGGATAGCAAACAAAAAGAAAAGAACAGACAATTGCATATATGACTATTCATGCAAAAACTCTACATAACGTATTAGCAAACCATGACCAAATAGGGTTTGACTAGTAAGCAGAAGGCTGGCAGTTCAAACCCACCAGCCATTCCTCAGAAGGAAGATTGGGCAATCTACTTCCATAGAGATACCGCCTTGGAAACCTAAGGAGGGGTCTCTATGAGTTGGAAAAATGACTCAACGGCAGTGACTTTGGTTTTTTTGTTTTTGGTTAGAAATGCTAAAATAGCCCAACGCTATTTATTACTCGTTCATGTACTGAAAAAGGTCTGCTAAGGAGAAAATCATGATTATAACAATAGGTGCTGAAAAGATACTAGATAAAATTCAGCAAACATGGATTCAGTAATAGTATTGTATCTATGTTAACTTTATTGATTTTGAATTATGGTGATGTCTTGGAACAAAGGTTGGGCAATCTACTTCTGTAGTGATACCACCTTGGAAACCCAAGGAGGGGTCGCTATGAGTCTGGTCCGACTCACAGCACATAACAACAATAAACAACATTAAGGTGATATAAGAGAACTTCCTTGTTCTTAAGAAATACACAATGAGCAATTTAGAGGGAACAATATGAGAGCAATATTGACAAGACATTTAACTATAATTACAGCCATGTGACAAAGTGATAATTATGTTAAGCAGTGATTAGAATCTCAAAGCAAACAGGGTGAAGTTTTTGTTAGAATTACATTCAATGAAAGGGGTCAAAAAGCAAGTTATTTAATAACAGAATGTACCAGCCAGAGAAAGAAAAGTCACTAAGTTGAGAGAATCTAGTAATGCCAACACATACAATTATACATGAAATGCTAGGACAAAATGCAGTGAGAGAAACTGGGAAGGTTCCACTCTGAAACAGCATGAAAACTCAACATATTGATGACTTGCCACATGATGCTGAAGAGGTTTTATGTAATAAAATGAAAAAAAGCAGCTTCTGACTGCACATTGATACATCAAGAGATTTCAACAATAAATCTCATGCTTTTTTAAGATTTGTAAATCATGGTAAAATTCAAGTGAATTTTTTTCTGCTGCAAAGACTTGCTCAAAAAATAGGCAAAAGCAGGGTTTCATTCTATTGTGCACGGGGTCTCCATGAGTCAGAAGACAACCTGATGGTAGCCAGCAACAACAAAACCTAGAAAAGAGATCAAGACACGAGCCAGGACAAGAACAGACACATGCACACCCATGTTCATCGCAGCACTATTCACAGTAGCCAAAAGATGCAAACAACCCAGGTGCCCACCAACAGAAGAATGGATGACCAAACTGTGGTACATACACACAATGGAATACCATGCAACCCTAAAGAATAACATAGAGTCTGCAAAACACCGCAAAACGTGGATGAACTTGGCAGACATTACGCTGAATGAAATAAGTCAATCACAGAAGGATAAATATTGTATTAGTCCATTATTGTAAAAAGTCAAAGGTTTATATATGGAAGGAAATTTTCTTTGTTGGTTACCGGGGGTGGGAGGGGAGGGGAGTGAACACTGCTAGATAGGCAGAGACAAGTATTGATTTGGGTGAAGGGAATGGCAACATACCAAATGCAAGTGATCAACACTGTGGCACTAAGGAAGAGGAAGGCATAGAGAGGTGCATGGGAGGTACAGACAACAAAGATGAACCCTTTAGCACATACAATACTGCATTGTCAGTGATGGCAAACATTGATATACCAATGTATAGATGGGTGGACATGCTGAAGGATCAGGTATGTCTATGCAGGGGGAAGTGTGTGCCCATGACCATGTATAGGGTTGGCAGACAATGTTTCTACAAGTGTATTTGTACGTTCGGTAAGAATGTCCAGGTATATAGTAGAGCTGGCACAGGACAAGGTTGCAGTCACTTATGGGCCACAGCCAACTACCCGGAGGGAGCGAGCAGTTGGACCTGTGGGCTTGGGACCATGGTCACAGGGTACATCAAGCTCAATTGGCATAACACACTACACAAAAACATTGTTCCACATCCTACTTTGGCAAGTAGTGACTAGGATCTTAAAAGCTTCCAAGCAGCCATCTACATGCAAACATGAGTCTCTGCTTGTCCAGAGCAAAGAAGACTGAAGAAAACCAAAGACACATGGAAACAATTAGTCCAAGGGACTGGTATACCATGAGATCCTCAGCCTATATGACTATGAGACCAGAAGAACTAGATGGTGCATGGCTATCACTGTCAACCACTCAGAGGGGGATCTATGTAGGAGATTCCAGATATAGTGGGAGAACAATATGGAATAAAACTCAAAATCATGGAAAAAAAAGTGGGGGGGACCAGGTTTGCTGGTCTGATAGAGCCTAATAGAATCATTGAGACTGTGGCCCCCAGCTGCCCTTCAGGTCTAGAATTGAACCCCCTCCTGTGGCTTCCAACCAAACAAAAGACAGACATATGAGCTGAATATTTACAACATTTACAAGTTTACCAAGGTAGCACTCCTTGGTGAGATCAATCATGGGAGAATAGAAGGGCTGTATATGCACAGGGAAACAGCTGAGGGGCAGGAGTGCACGGGAGAGAAGGACACAAGGAAGAGGTAACTATGAGGAGGAAGTGGGAAGAGAACTGCTGCACTGTGGGAAATTACAGTCAATGTCATGAGACAAAGTATATGTGAACTGCTGTATGGCAAATGAATTTGCTCTGTAAACTTTCACCCAAATTGCAATAAATTTTTTTTAAAAAAAAAGAGAGACAGATAAAGAAACCAATACAAGCTGTACACTAATTTTGTAACTTGTAGGTATATATCTGAGCCTGAAAATATCTCTCCACAAGAAAATGTATTTTTAAATCCTTCTACAGAAGTATGTCTTAGACTGTGTATAAGTTATCCATTGCTATATTAAACTGCTCCTAAAATGGAGCAGTTTAAAACAACAAACATGTATTATCTCATAGTGTCTGTGGATCAGAAATCAGGCAGCAGGTCACCTAAGTGGTTCTGGCTCAGGGTCTCTCATGAGGTAGTCATCAAGCTGTCAGTTACCTGGAGCTGCAGTCATTTAGACTTAACGGATACTCTTCCAAGCTGCCATGTCTTGAGACAGCTCTCTGGGACCAAGGCCTGCCACAGTCGCATGAGTGAGCTTGGAAGTGGATTCTCCTTCCTCTAGCCTTCAGATGAGAACACAGCCCCAGCACACAGCTTGACTACAACTTCATGATTCTTTGAGTCAGAGATACCCAGCTAAGGCAGTCCCCAGATCTCTGACCCACAGAAACTGTCAGATAAGAAATGTTTGTTCTTTAAAGCTGATAAATTTTAGGGTAATTTTTCATGCAGCTGTAGATAATACAGTAATTTATTGACTATATATTTATTATTTTTACACTTTTCTATATGTATGTTTTACTTCAAAAAAAAAAGAAAAATCAGAATGAGTTAGTTAATACAATGTTAATTAAAATATAATGTTAATTGAAAAACAAGTTAGATGCTACAGAAAAAGGTATATAGTCCCATTTTTATAAATAAAACAAAATGTGTGTGTGTAAGTGTATATATATATATATATATATACTTGAATAAACATACAGAAAATATTGGTAGTCTCAGAAGGTAGAAAACCAGAAAGGGAGAGTTAGGGAAAATTATTAACTTGCTCTTTGTATATTTTTTTAGATTATTTCATATTTTAAAGATTTTATATTGAAATGTTTTAAAGGAAACCTGGAGGACCCGGGAAGTTCTGGGCCCTGACTCACAGTAGTCCCCAGTCAGCACCTGCATTTGCCCCTGAGCCTGGCTCTTCCTGGTTCTCAGCCTGCTGTGAAGATGAATGCACTAGGTCCTGCCTCTCTGAGAAGTGCTGGGTCATTACCAGGAGAGAGAAAGACAGCAAGGCCATACAAGCAAGCAGGGACTCACTCACTTTGGTTCAACCCTCACAACATTCTCAGAGTATCTGATGTTTGGCGAGTTGTTGTTGAGTGAGAAGCAGATATCGTCGATGGTAAGGGCCACAAACTTGTCCTTCAAATCCTTCTCAAGATTGTACTTGGTAGAACGGTTCAGCCTGAAGGGAAAAAGCAAGCTGTTTCTCTCTTTAGAATACCTAGGTAGCACCTATAAGTTCTTAGGACACCTTAGAAAAGGCATCTAAAGCTAGAGCTAGTATAGGATGGTGGCATTTCCTTCTCCACCTTCTCATCACCCCAACACATACATATACCATTAGATGCTTGGTCACAAATTAATGTAATCAAACCATGACTTCAAGATTCTCCCCTTCAACTGTGACTTTTTCTTACGCCACCACTATAGCATGTTGTATAGAAGGGATCAGCCCTGGCAGGAAACAGCCCCAATGCTCTTCAGTTTATAATCAGGGGTGAATCTTACCCCATCACCACCCATGACCAGAAGATGCTGTGCATGAAGGGCTGGCCAACTGCCATCTGAGTGTTCCTGGGTGATCTGGGGGCACTGAAAGTGCTTGCGAGAGTACTGAAACCCACTCCTTCTGTGCTATGGGGCCCAGCCTTTGTGGGTATTGCCTTTTCTAGCAACTTCAAATGAATATCTGAAGGGCAGGCCTGGACCATCATACCTGATCTGCTCAGAAGTCTCCTCCAAGGTGCGGGTCAGCAGGGCTATAATCCCCTGAATGACCTCAACCTCCTTTATCAGCTCCTGTTCCACTTCATCATGTACCAAGTCAATCCCAATTCGGTTCTCCCTGACCAAGAGACAAGCAGCAGGTGTTCCAAAATGAGAAGGAGTGCAACTTGATTTTTGCTAACATCTGGACATTTGAAAATATCTGAACAACTGATTTGAGTTGGATAATGTGATGGGAGATGTATATTAGTTGGTGTCTATGTGACTTTCGGAGCTCTGGTGGTGTAGTGCCTGGGGCATCTGACTGCTAACCAGAAGGCTGGCGGTTCAAACCCACCAGCCGCTCCTTGGGTGGAAGACTGGGCAATCTACTTCCGTAGAGATACCGCCTTGGAAACCCAAGGAGGCATCGCTGAGTCAGATCCGACTTGACGACAGTGAATTGCATTCATTGCATTATGTGCCTTTAGAATATCCAAAACACAAAGGAGAAAAATCATTTTGGGACTGGTTTTTTGATCTGAAAAATGCTAAATGGACTTCTCCACCTCACTCAGATTTGACCATCAGTTCTGAAGCTTGTTCTTTCCTACCTAGTGATTGGGAACATTGTCTTTTTACCAGGGCTTTGAACTAGTTCTTCCTGGTTCAGTCATGGCTGACAAAACAAAACTGGAATGGACCCAAATTTATAAAATGTGAGTGGTATCAGAATGATAACTGGAGTAGGAAAAATTACAAGCTGATGTCCTGCTACAAATTCAATCTCCTTCTTAGAAAACAAGAGCACCATGCATGTAGCATAGCCACCAAATCTTTTGACCAGCAGAGATGGAAATAGTGGTGCCCCACATAAAGACAGTGGCCAACTGCACCACTTTGAACGTATGTAGCTCTCTTCAGTCCTGACAATAATCTCATCTCCTGCAGCAAATTCTTTCTGAGTCTCCCATTCCAGGACTTCAACCAGTAATCTTTCCTGTTCTAGTTATCATTCTGGTACACCCACATTTTAAAAATCCAGGTCTGTTCCTATTTAGCTGCATCAGCCATGACTGAACTGGCTGGAACTGGTTTGAAGCTCTGCTTTTTGTTTAGAATTTCCACAACATATGTTTCCTTCCTTCATCCTACTCCTGTTTTTTGACAAGGATTTAAATCTAGAAAGATATTTTATAATAACAACAATAGCAACAACTGCTACTAGTACTAACAATATTAATATTACCACTACCACTGAGTACTTACTAAGTGACAAGCGCTGTGCTAAGTACTTTATATACATATTCTCACATGCCTTTCAATTAAAAAACAAAAAAATGCTGTTGCTATTGAGTCAATTCTGACTCAGAGCATCCCTTCAGGACTTAGTAGGACTGCCTCATGAGGAACCTGAGTTTCAGAGAGGTTAAGAAACTTACCCACTGTCATAGAACTGAACATTACATATGCTTTTAACCACTAAACTGACACTGCTTCCTGATATTTTGTTCTTTTTCACACAGTATGATAGTGCTTGGGGGGAAAGCACTAGCTTTGTGGCCTTGGGCATGTTATATACATGTTATGTATGTGCCTTGGTTTCCTCTTCTATAAAATGGGAATAATTAATAGTACTTCAAAGAGTTGTGGCAAGAAATACATAAGACATAAAAGCACATAGCATAGTGCCTAGCACATAGTATATGCTCAATAAACTGAGCAATTCCACAACTACTGTTATTATGATTACCCTTGGGTTTGAGATTTGAGATGACTGGGTAACTGTTCACCTGCTATCTCTCACTGCGTCCTGACCTCTGTAGCTCTGGCTGCAGAGACTGCCGCCTGGTTGCTGCAGAGGGTCCTGCCTAAGTTCACTGAAGGGAACAGCACTTTTGAAGAGAGAACAGTGTGGACAAAGGTGTTGTGCATTTGGAAACTGCATGTAGCTTAGCACACCTAACGCAACATGATTGGGGATGAGATGTGGATCTCGAGAGGTCACTGGGAACTCAATCATGACCTAAGCTAAGAAGTTTGAATTTTATTTGAAGTGATTGGTATTGTAATTAGGTGATTTTAAACATGAGCGTGAGTTGGTAAAATCTGTATTTGGAAAAGTTCACTCGACAGCCAGTATGGGGATGTACTGGATTGGAGGTTCTCTGCTGACAGCAGGAAGCTCTGTTAGGTTTGCTAGGGCAAGGCTGCAATAGGGAACAGGTCTGGAAATCAGCATCATCCCAGAGGAAAGAGGAACATCCTACTCAAGAGGATTTTAGGAGGAAATAGTGATAATAAATAACTAGTGTTCTCTAAGGAGTTGTGGTGGTGGTGTGGTTAAGGCAATTGGCTGCTACCCAAAAAGTCAGTGGTTCGAAATCATCAACCACTCCATGGAAGAAAGATGAGGCAGTCTGCTTCCATAAAAACTTACAGCCTTGAAAACCCAATGGGGGTTTCTATGAGTCAGAATCAACTTGATGGCATTGAGTGTTCTCTAGTTTACAAAATGCTTTGTGTGGCTCTGTGTATTGGAGCAGACTTGTTATCCTCCAGTAGCTTTAGTATCTGATCTAACTTTTTCCTTGGCAATAAAACCCTTAATTTTTCATCTGGGCACTTGGCTGCTCCAAATAAAGAGTGTCATTTCCCAACTTCTATTGATGTGGCCAAGTAACTAAGTTCTGGTCAATGGGATGCAAGTACAAATGGTGGATGCAGAACCCTACTTTTTCCTACTGGCTGGAATGCAACCATAATGGCTGGAGTTCCAGCTGCCATCCTGAATCACAAGGTAACCTTGGGAACAAATACCACATGCAGTGAAACAAGATAGAAAAAGCCTGGACCCTTGAAAGTGTGGAGCAACATGCCAACTCTAACCCATCTCTAGACTGTGTAAATGTGTGTGTGAGAGAGAACAAAGCTTCTATATTATTTAAATGTAATGTTATTTGGGAGTTTCCTGATACAGCCAAAGTTAGTCCTAACTTACATAGTCCAGATATGTGATGGTTTTGAGCCTCCCAACAGCCTGGAGAGATAAAGAGGTCATATTCCCATAACCATTCCCATTGAGAGATAAGGAAAGTATGGTAAAAGTGCTCATTTTACTGCTCAGCATCAGAGGCATGCTGGGATAACCACAGGCTCTAAAAGAACACATGCCCAATTGCCTTATTCTAACCTGGGGCAATCTACTTCCGCGGTGATACTGCCTCGGAAACCCAAGAAGGGGTCGCTATGAGTCGGGTCCGACTCGACGGCACATAACAATAACAACAACAACCCTCCAACTAGCACAGACACATTTTACCACCCAGAAATTCATTTCTTGAAGCAGATGTACTCATTCAAGACACCTTCCCTCCTACCTGTACGTAAGGCACGTCTGAGTGATGTGCAAGGGTTCTTTTAAGCTCTCCAGGGCTCTTTCCAACCTTATCTTAAATATCAGTAGATCCTCAGTTTCATGCACAAGCTGCTCAAGTTTGTCATCTAACTCCTTCTTCCAGAACTTGACTTCCTCAAGTCTCTGTTCTGAAGCACAGGGAAGTTACACTAGGGTTAATCTACTCCCAACGCAGCCAACTTTTGAATTAAAAACTTGAGGGCTATTGAAAAACTACCTATGTTCTTACCTTCTTAGAGCTGTGCTAATTGGGGCTTTTTTTCATCTTTACAAATGTTTGTTAGCAAAAAGGAAAGAAGACATCTCCTCCTACTTTCAATATCAAATTTATCAAAAGGCCATTCTACACTCACTGACTAATTCCTCAGTGACCACTGTTTCCATATGAGTATCTAATTGGCCAATTTATTGGAATGGTCACCCTTTTCCCACTGCACTACAATATTGCTTGTCATAAATCAGATGAATGTGTATGTGTGGGTTAGTTTCTGGACTCTCTATTATGTTCCAGTGGTCAATCTGTCCATCCTAACCTCACTGTCTTAATTACCATAGTTTTATAATAGGTCTTGGAGTCTACATGGAAAGTTTTTTTCTTCTTCATAATAGCTGTGTCCATTCTTTCTTTCTTAATAGCTATGTTTATTCATGACTCTTGGCATTTCCCTATGAATTTTAGAAGGAGTTTATCAATTTCACCCCAAAAAAAAAAAAAAAAAAACTCTCTGAGATTTTCATTGGCATTAAATCTATAAATTAACTTGAGGAGACTTGACATTTTTAAAGTATGAAGTCTTCTAATCCATTAAGAGATATATCCCTGAATTTACTTTATTATTATTATTTACTTCTTTCAACAATGATTTGTGGTTTTCAGTGTAGAACTCTTGGACACTTTTTGTTAGATTTATTCCTAAGCATTTGATGTTTTTCAATGTCATTGTGAATAGTTAATTTTTTAATGATTCAGTGACTCAATGAAATTAAGGTACAGAACTTGAAAACTTGTCTCTCATGCTTCCTGATACATGATTATTGTGAAAAATGAATAGAGAATTTTCATTTTTATCATCTACTTATGAGCACAATTATTTAGAACAGGCTTGACTATAGATCGGTACCAAGGATAAGGATCAACTCATCAGGAAAAGCCTAACATCTAACATTGCTGGCGTGAACGAAGTTTTGGCTTATTGGAGATCAAACCCTAGCAGCCGTCAGATCTGATTTTATCCATAGATGTGTTTGTTTAGCCAGCCCAGTGTCATAAATACATTTAAATCAGTTGTCGATGCAGGTAGTCCCTGTCTATATTCCGTTTCCATTCCACGGAAGTCAGAACAGTTAGGCAAGGTTCGTGTCTAATCAGTTAGCCAAATGTTTGTCATAGTCTATAGTATACCTTTCTATGCATAAAAAACATCAAAAGAAAATTCTGGATACACTAAAACATTTTTAACATAATAATACAGTAATAACAATAATGTTTTGATTGGTGTTTCAAAGTAGCATGCATGTTATTATGAACCACTGCATGTACCTTGAAGTTTTAATACAATAAATAGGCTTTATAGGGCTTGGTTGGTAACCATGGGTTGTGCCTACATCAGACATTTATAGTCTGGGTACTGCCTGCAAAAAATAGGAGACTGCACATAAAATTCTAGCTTTCCAGATTTTCTTCAAAAAAATCAGAAGATCAAGCAACACTGAGTCCATATTTCTTCTTTGGAATAAATGGATTGCAATAGAGTATTAGTTGCCTCCTTAGCTGGAACATGAATTCTCCAAGTTCCCATAGTCCCCACTACTTCCTATTGTCTTCAATTCAACTCCCTATCTTACCCCAACTAGTCATTAGAAATGTTTGAGTTGTGACCTCTGGTTTCTCACTTTTTGGAATTTGGGAGGTTTTGTTTGTTTGTTTCAGTTTTGCTCATTTAAGGTCATCATCCTTAAATATTCCTTTTAAGTATGTAATTGTCAAGAGAAAATTAATCTTCCTTTAAAACTCAGCTCAAATGTTCTTCTCTAGGAAAATTTTCCCACTTCCCTAGTACCTGCTATACCCCTACTTTTGTACCTAGCTGGTTATATTCTCATTAGTTTTTGTTTTAATTTGTATTTGTGTTATTTAATTTGTATTAATATTAATCTTTCTCCTCCTCCCACCTCTAAAAAGCAGAAACCATAATCATTCCCATGATATCTGCAATACTCAGTCTACAGATGCTCTCACATGTTCAATAAACACATACCAAATTAATAAATGAATGAATGATGGATGGCTTAATGTCAGACTGGGTTACTACGCCTTTGTCCTAGGGCAATGAACTTAAACACAGTACCTGGAGAATACACGTTTTTTCCTAATATTCTAAGAATAATATACTGCCACTCCCGAATAGCAAATGTAAATAACAGTATAGCTAAACCTCAACAGTCTCATCCAAACATACTCACACATAGATCCAGCTCATTACCTTACCTATTTTCTTGTTCACATCACTTTGAGATTTTCTTGTGGTCTTTTCAATTTCATCCACAAGCCTCTGGCTTTCTGCCACTAGGCGTTCAGATCGGGACCTTTGGGCCTCTGCACTGTGGTACTGGTTCTTGTTAGCAATATGCCACTCTGAGGGCAGGAACTTGGGGGGAAGTTGTAGTAATTTGGCCATTTGAGGTTTTCAAAGTCCTAAACAAAGGCAGATTTGTTTTAGATTTACTGAAAAGCAACCTATCCTTTTTTAAATGTCAATTTTCATTCAAGTGTGAGATACATATCTCAATGTGAATAAATCACTATTTGTACACAAAATGAACACATTTGTGGATTCAGAACCCAGATCAAGAAACTGCATTTCTAGCACCCAGCAACCCTCATGCAATGTCATTTCCAATCTCTTCTTTTCATTACTGCCCCCAGAAGATAACCACTATCCTGACTTTGAATGCCATAGTCTGGCTGTTTTAAAAACTTAACATAAACAGAATCACACATATACTCTTTTGTATCCAACTTCTTTTACTCAACATTATGTTTGTTAGATTCATCAATATTGTTCATATAGTTCATATAGTTATAGCTTGTTTTTTCTCATTTCTGTGTAGTATTCCACTGTAAAATTTATGTCTTTTCTACTGTTTACAGTTATTTGGGAGCTCTGGTGAGTAGTAGGAGCTCTGGAGGCATAGTGCCTAAGGCATTTGACTGCTAACCAGAAGGCTGGTGGTTCAAACCCACCAGCCACTCCTGGGAAGGAAGATAAGGCAATCAACTTCTGTAGAGATATTGCCTCGGAAACACAAGGAGGGGTCATTATGAGTCTAACTGGACTCCACAGCAGTGAGTTTGGGTTGTGTGTGTGTGTGTGTGTGTGGTATAGTAGGTAAGGCATTTTTGGTCGCTAACCAGAAGGCTGGCTGGCAGTTCAAACCTACCAGGTGCTCTGCAGGAGGATAATGAGGCAATCTACTTCCATAAAGATTTACAGTCTTGGAAACCCAATGGGGGTCACTATGAGTCATAATTGATTGGATGGCAGTGAGTTTGGGTTTTTGGTATAGTTATTGGGTTGCTTTCAATTTGAGGTTATAATGAAAACGCTATGAATATTCTCTTTTAGTGAACACATGTATGCATTTTCATGACTTGGTAGAATTTCTGGATCACAGGGTTGTTGTGTTGTTACATGTCGTGGAGTCGGACCAACTCATAGTGACCCCTCCTTGGGTTCCCGAGGCAGTATCACTATGGAAGTAGGTTGCCCAGCCTTCCTTTCGAGGAGTGGCTGGTGGGTTTGAACCGCCAGCCTTCTAGTTAGCAGTCAAGTGCCTTAGGCACTGTGCTACCAGAGCTCCTCGGATCACAGGTTAGTGTTCAGTTTTAGTTGCTACTGCAACTAAACAGATGAGCCTAGGTATGTGTTCTAAAAAATGAACAAAGGTGACATCTGTCATCTGAAAACTCAGCATTGAGCCTATTCAACAGATTAAACCAAACTCACTGCCCTCATAGCGACCCTCATTGGGTTTCTGGGGCTGTAAATCTTTACGGAAGCAGGAACCACCAACTTTCCGGTTCGCAGTCCAATGCCTTAGGCACTACGCCACCAGAGCTCCTTATTTCGATAGATTAAGGAACATATTTCCCAGGACAAAAAAAAAAAAAAAGAGGGAGAGAGAACAGAAAGGGAACACAGGAGTAAGGCAGCAGGCAGAGGCCCGCGGCAACAAAAAGACTAAGATTTACCCACCTCATCTGCACACATAACAACAACAACTGGGCACAGCTCTGACTGACTGCGAAGACTGTCTTTCTCCCGCAGGGCTGAAATCTGCCGCTGCCACTCCCACCCCCACAGTCCCCAGCCCCACCCCACAATTTGAGCTCTTGCCCTTAGGGGCCTCTGGATCTCTGAAGCCCTTGAGATACTGACAATGGAACAAGGGCAGGCTGTTGACCGTGCTGAGCCCCCTCCCTCAGCCCATCTAGCCCTCTCAGACAACATGGGGCTCTCCCCCTTTCTCCTAAACAACCTTCCTATGGCCTCTCGCATGTGTCTGAGTGTAGAGGCCAAAACTCAAGACTCCTGGGTAAGTAAGCCTGAGCAGCTCCCAGAGAGGTGAGGATCTAATTTACATGTTAGGGCTGATCTCAACTGTCGGCTAAAAGTTAGTGGAGGGTGAGGGCTGGGGTTTACTTACCTCAGCACCGCAAAGAACTACTATCCAGGTTCGGGGTAGGACCCTCCTTACCCTCACTGGACTTTCAGGATCTCACAGAACGGAGTAGTAAACAGCGCAGTCTCCGTGGTAACCGATGACGCATCACCAGGGCAAAAGGGGCGGGATCCGCCGAGAAGCAGCCTCGCCGGAAGGCTCTGCGCAGTCGCGAATTCTGGGGCTGTCGGGCCAGAAAAGCCTTCTCAACCCACTGCGCAGACGCCGGACAACGAGCGGAGGGCTGTTGCCCAAACGCAGGACTCGGAGTCAGGAGCCCTACGTCTAGTCTTGGTCAGTCTCTGGCTGTCTGGCCTCGGGCCATGCTGCTCCCTTGGGTCTCGGACGCCCCAAGTGTAAAGTGGAGCTGAGTGATGCCTCTAAGCCCTCTCAGCTGCGGCCGGGACCAAGACCAGCAAGCGATAGACCTAGTTCTGCAAGTGGAGTTGTTGGAGCCAGGACCGAGGACCCGAATCCGGCGCGAGAGGAACTGAGCCTATACGATACTTGAGAAGGCTCTGAAACCCG